TGAAGGACTTTCCTTATTAGGCAAGATAGATCATAGCTCTAGTCACAAGGAGCAGTAACTGCTGTAATCCTCACCCTGTTTCTTGATAATTTTTTCCTGTGTTTGTTTTGTATCTTGGTAAGGCATTACTGTGGCTTTTATCTTTCATTTTACAAATGAAAAAACTTTTTTCTTTTTAACATGGTGAGATTTTTTTTTTTAACATTTGTGTTTAGTCCTAAGTACTTAATTCATGTTTCCGTTGGTACAACGCATGTCATTCTTAACTTCTCTATCACTGAACGTCTACCCTGTATTAAATTGCTGAGCATTTATGCACATTTCACACCAAAATCTGTCCTGTAAAACCTTTTCACTGTTGTCTTGTATACAGCACATTTCATTTGAAAGAATCACCACTGTAGGAACTCTTTCAAATATGTGGATATTTCTCTCCTTGAACAAAATGCACAACAATGAAATTTGCCCCGTGCAACAAGAGGTTCCCAGCACACTTGTGAGCGTCAGGCTCTAACTAGAGTACCTGGCTATCTTGAAGGTCTAGATTTTGCTGATAAAGGTAAAAGTTATTTGACTGATGGACCTAGGTTTAAGGGGATTAATACAAGCTTGTATTTACAAGTGGGAGAGAAGAAAGCAGTAGTAATAGTAGTCTTTGTAGCTAACAAGGTTTATGGAGAGAAGGCAGTGAAAGGGAATCGTGGAATAACAGGAAAATCAAGTGCCTTTTAGGACAGGGACTGTATATTTCGTTATGGGTTTGGACAGTAAAAAGCTCCATGAAGCTGTGATTTATCAGTGATACCACATTACTAGGTAGACTCTTCTTGATTAAAAATTTAGTTATACTAGACTGTCCCTAAACTAGTTTCTAGCAAACCCTGGGATGATTTAATCTTGTTGAAAGCTGAAGAGTGACAGAGGTGTGGTACCATGTCTTCCTTGGAAGGCAGACCTCAGAGCAAGTTGCAGAATTCTGCCTGAACTCAGTTTTCTTCAGTTCCCAGGCTTACAGGAAGCAGGTGATGCTGTGATATTTAGCTGGGTTTTTCTTGCAGCATTTTCTTCACATGCTTCCCTCTTAGCTACCCTTAGTCACCCTTCCTTCTTTGGTGGACAAAGACTCCATGTGATGTGTTCAGCATAGCTTATTGGTGGTACATTAGCTCAGTCTTCCTTGGGTTTGACTGCTGGGAAGACCTGATGCGTTTCTATGTGAGGGCTTTACGAAAAGGATTGTGTTTACTGACCAGCATGTTCCACTTCGTGAGAGTCCAATATTTGCTTTTAATGCACCTTTACTTTACTGAGTACCGTTGCACCCTGGACTTGTGGATTTATTAACAGTTGTACTGCTTCATCCTGCTGCCAAATACCTCATTGTGAACTTTATTAGTATTCAACAAACCTGTTGAAGATGAATGTACTGAATTCTTTTTTCTGCCTCTTTTGGTATACCTTCGTTAGTTGAGTCCATTAAGGTAATACTTTTCAGGTCTCGCCTGCTTACCTCAGAGCTTGAACTACACTAGATTGCCTGCTGATGTTAGAGTGTTTCTTTTCTATTAATCATACTTATTCTCAAGGCGTTATATGGTGTTGCTTTAGTTTTTGCGAAGTAGTCCAGTTCTACTGGACTGAGTAGGCTGAGTACCTCAGGAAGCTTGTATTCCCTTATGGGTCTCTGAAGGTGGGACACTGAGCTCATTAGCTAGGAGTACTGCATCTTTATTCATCCATTGCTGAAGGTGTGGAGGTACCACTGCAGTGTAAATGTTGAATCATCATGAAATTCTGCTTTTCCCTAGACTATTGACTTTTTACTGTGTCTAATAAAAGGTAGTTGCTGTTAAGATTCTTATGCATATATTGGATTAAACACATAAGCATCAGGGGTCTACATGAGTATAGAGCGCAAGTATTACCTGTTAACAGAGGATAACAGACTTCTGTTTTAAAACAAAATATAATTCGTATGCTGGGGCAATCTCTAAAGATAATATTACCTTGTGACTTCCTTCAAAGGGTCAAAGCCTATATTATAGCCTTTTGCTATAAGTGAAACTAGAAGTACCATGGCACTTTAGATAGACAATATAGAGTTACCAAAGTTAAAAATTCCACTAGTTTTCATTAGTGAACTCATTGACTGGTAAAAGAATGATGCTGAACCTTTGCCATATTTAGTTATAACTTTGGGATTGCTTTTTATCTGTTTTGCTGTTGAAATGTTTACAAAAAAAGGTGCAGTATTTCACTCCAGTGCTGGAGTAGTAGTTGATTCACAATTTCAAGAAGAGAGCTGTGCACTGAAATGATGTGAAATAAAACTGTGTGTTTATTTCACAGAATTGACACGTTTTAAATAACTTCAGGATCAAAATAAACAGCAGTAATTTCTACCTGAATTTTATGTTTCTGTTCAGTTTTCAGGTTCTTGTAACCTCCCATTTTAAGACCTATTTCAAATAGCCTTGTATTACGAGATTAATGCAATAGTATCCATAAGTATGTAGATATAAGAAGTATATTGAAAAATTTGATAATGTATTGACTCTATTCTCTAGTCTTAAATAAACATGAATCACCTGCATAATTTCTCTGGAATGTAGCTTAGCTTAGTTTTACAGAATGCTTTCGTGCTTCAGGTACTGAAAATGAGTGTACAATACTAGAGATTTGCCGTAGACTACAGATAGTGAATGTATTTTCTTGCCTGCACATGTTTCCTTCCAGCTCAGCCTGAGCTCTCTCCTAGCATTTCTTTCGGATGAGCCAGTATTGACTCAAAGTGGCAAAACCAGAATATACCATCTTCCACCTCATTAGTCCATAAATCAGTGTGTTACAGTGTAGTTTCTGCAACGGACTGAAATATCATTACAAAATTCATTCTGTTCTAGATACCTGACCTTATTTTATGCATGTGCTTGTTTCAAAGTGAATTCCAAAGGCTCAGCTGGCTTAGCAGTTATGAAGTTCTATACGGTAATAGGCTATCACCTATACAAGAGATGTATTTCTTTGCTTGTCATTTTATGGAAGGACTGGATTTGCAGCCTAGGAGAAAGAACTGCACTGATTTTCAGAAATGCAGCTCCTCCATTCTTCCTCTATGGCACGTGTAATACTAAGAACGGTATTTATTAAAATCAGTGTTTCCTCTTTTTTTAGTCTTGCTTTTCTACTGTGTTTTTAATCCTAATCCCACAAAAGTAGCTTTTCTACTAGAAGATACATGCGAGGGGTATTCATGTATATAAAAGCTTCTATGATCTCAGAATGTCTGCAGCTTTGGATCTAATTCAAAGACATACACAGGTTTAATTTAAAATGTGGAAATAGTTTAATCGTCTAATTACATGTTCCATGAAGTATGCATAGGAGCTGCAATTCTAGGCCTCAACCATAAATGATACAAAAAGGGAAAATGTCTTCAGGACTTGGTCCAGAAAGAGGGAGTATACTCTTCAGGGCAAAGATGTTAAACCTGTTTTCCATGCAACACCATGAATCTTTGTATGTTTTGTTTTACTTGAAAAAAAGGATCAGGGTGAAAACATGAAAGTTATATTTGACTTGTGTTAAACACATTCTAAAAATGTCGATATAGAAAATGTAACAAGATTTTTTTCATTTGGAGAATATGTATTAGTGTGTCATTGTAATTATTAATATTTCTTAAAAGAAGTACTGAAACTATTTTTTTCACACCACTAAAGTATTTTTAATTAGAAAAGCACATCGTCAATATAGCATGATGATTTCAAATACAGATTCAGTAAAGGCAAGAAAAGCTAACTTTTTTCAGCTTTCCACAAGACTAACAAAAATGCTGCAGAGTATAGTCAATAGTTAAAATTTTATTTATAATATTACAATTTTTGGTATAACAGTGTTCCTGTTGCCACACTTACACATTAGTGTAAGTTATAAGCCTAAATTAGGATGATCTAAAAATAAAACCCTTTTGTCTGTTTTCTGGTCTCAGCTATGAAGAGACATATTGCACAAAACCATAGAAAGCATCATGGGGCTTGCTTATGTGTATTTATATATTTAATCTCTTTCCAGGTTCTGATTGTTTTTGGTGTTTGCTTACATTTCTTGTCTTGCATGTTTGCTGGCAATAAAACAGTGCCATCTCTGTTTCTGCTATTTGGATTTCATCTGTTGTCAGCGAGATGTTGAATATTGTCTGCCTTCATTTACGTAATTTAGCACCCTAGCTGGGCTTGCAGATACATTTAGCAGTCATTGATATAGTGCCCTTAGCCAGACGCTTTGCTCTGGAATGTTTTTGATAATCTTTTCAGACAGTGGTGTTTTTTTGCTTTAAATTTAGAAATCGTTCTTACCATCGCTGGTCTTTGCACTGTGCGCTGTGCAATTGATGTTCAAAAATGTCATCAAAGTGTAGTGTAGATGTACACAAAAACAATAACAAATAAATTGAGTACAGTTCCAATAATCCCAAGCAGTGCTAAAATAGATTCTTCTTTTTCCTCTTTCTCCTCTTGCCTTTTTACATCTTCCAGTGTTGTGATGGCAGAGGTCCCCATTTTTCCTGCAAATACCTTCACGAGTATTCTGGCAGCTAGCTAGAAGAAAGAAAGCAAATGGTAAATCTGGTCTGACAAACATGCAAGCTTTGATCTTTTTAAAAACAATTCTGTACTTCTTTACACAGTATATCTTAATGCCATGCTTATTGAGTTGTATTCATCTTTTGTTTTCTTTTTGTGTGAACATGTACATGTTAAAAGTAATTGTTCTCTAGATACAGATTTGGTAGGAGGAGTGAAAAATAGCTTGATGCTTCAAACCAATTAACATGCTTTATTATAAAAGAAATCTAAAATTTGTATTTAAGCCAGCTAATTTGTTTCCTTACGAAACATCAAATTGATGAAACTAGGTATGTGAGCATTGTCAAATACTCAATGCCTTGGGAGATTATATGAATTTTCAGCTGTTGTGAAATATTTAACTCTCACAGTACAAAACCAGTTGAAAATATTCCTGTCTGCTGTTCTTAAATGTGGAAGATATGCCTCCTTAATACAGTATCACAGTCTCTTTTAACCAGTGAGCCTTAAGTAGGCAATTGCAGGTGAGATCTTATCCTTTTACTTGTTTAATAGATAGCTTTTGGACAACCATGCAACAGTAAACATTTAACAGAAAATGTCTGTCTCTTCAAATAGAAAGGTGGTTGTTATTGTTATATATGCTTATTATTGCAGTATGCCAAAGGACAGCAGTACTTTTATAGTAACAAAATTTTATGCAATATAAGGACTTGAGATGGATATTTGCAGATGCGTGTAGGATTTATTACCTTTTTTTATTATAAAAGTGAGGTTGACAAGTCATCTCTATTACTTAGCTGCTCGTGTACTCTTAATTTACAGTCAGATATCCTCTAGAAATTCCCTCCTTGTAAAATTGTGTTCATTGGTGGCTGAGACGTTGATATTGTATCTAATCTGCTATGCTGTTTTAGCCTTACTGATAAGAAATTTCCAACCTTAAACCAAAATTCGAGTGGGATTTCAACTAGTTCAGATAATCCCAATTTACTGAAAATTTGCAGTCACGTTTTATAATGGAATAGCATTTTTCTCTCCTGGCAAACATCTTTAGTCATTGGGGATAAACGTATTTCTGCTGCGAGTCTAATTAAAGCCATCAGCTCAGAGCATATCTTACAGAAAGGTAAAAAAAAAATA